CAGCTGCAGACTGAGCTCAAGGGAGGAGTTCTGTACATATAGGCGGAGCTTTGTACCAACAAGCGTTTAGTCAGCTCCCCATGTCTACCACAGGAGATTCAAGGCTTTCTCAAACATGCATTTGAGTCAAAGCAACACCCTGAGTGTGTCTTTGATGAGGGAATAACATTATATAAAGCTTGAAAAAGTCTAATTTGCATAATCCGCCCCCTTTAAAATATTAAATACCTTAAAATATTTTTAAGATACTTGTACTAATGACAGAATGTTCCATATATCTTTAGGGATGTGCTTAGTTTCAGCAGATTTGATTAGGACGGCTGAAGCTGAATGGTTTGCAGATTTCCCCTTAATCTGTTTATAGTTTTTGTAGCACCAAAGGCTGCGTGTGCCATTCAAATAGTTTGTTTGTTCGTCACGATTTTGCTCTCCTATTTACAACTTTTCATATATTTTAAAGTGTTCTGCCACATGTCCTTTTGGAGAATACTACAACAACGTAAGCACCAAGTATAAACACCTCCACCGCTGGCGAGGGTGTGCGGGAGTACCCAARGTGTGACCATAACCGAGCCTTTAAAGTCCAGCATGATGGACGGTGGAATGTCTCCACTTAGATTTCAAAATCCAACAAATTGAACTCCCCCAAAAAGTTGCTGYTGTAACACATCTCGAAATTTATTTTCATATGAAACGATTGTTCTGAACAAAATCAGCACRTTTACACAATCCAACTCTGAAGAAAGCTGTTATGAATAATTCATGTTGGGTTTCAGTGAAAAGTAAAAAGACAAGCCTGAACCTGAAGGCTGTTGTGGGAAATAAAAAGTCATCGTGTTTGAACCATCACAACAACTGATCCAACAGCTGCTGTGGGAATGGTGGAGGACGGACTGCAGGAAAAGACCAAATCTGGTGCCAAAATATGATAAATAWTGTTGATTACTAAAAAAAAGTATGTAATTAAAATAAAGTACATCAACCACCAGAGTTTTAGTCTGAGATCATATTGAGGAATAAGTTGTGTCGCTGTCTAATAATATGTTCAGTCACGCTCAGACTATGACTGTCAGCTACAACCCCATMCAGTTTTAGCTCAGTGTCTGCGTCTGGGTTAGCAACCGCTGATTTGCTGCRGCAGACATTTTGCATTGAATTGACTCCAAAGGTTTTTCAGACACAGACGTACATTTAGTTTTGTCTTTCTACAACCTCACCAAATCTGAAGTCAATGCCTGTAAAATAAACTGAGTTTTTATTGTTTAATTGTCTTTTTAGCTTGCATTAGCTAACTGTGGCCATCTTGAATCGGGTCGACTCCAAAAGACAGTCAGTTGTTGAAGTTCCTCCAAAGTTTTCTTAAAATTTATCCTTCACGAGCTATTTTGCTAACAGGCACATACAGACGTAGGAGAAAATAATTAACCCTTAGCTTCCCCCTTCAGCTGTGGACAATAAAGTCTGAAGAGTTTAGCCTTTAAGTAGCTGATTTGTTCTGCAAATGTTTCTCCTGCTTCAGAAACGTCAACAGGAGCCGATTAATGCTTAATGATCTCTGCGGGAAGACGTGATTCACGCGTTTACCGACAGAGCCGGTGAGTGTGTCGTGAAGGTGTGTGGTTTTGTGTCTGAGAATGTGTGCGTGTGTGTGTGTGTGTGTGTGTGTGTGTGTGTGTGCTAATTGTTTGTAACCCTGAGGTTTTTGGTCTGTGGGTGGAATCTGCCTGTGCGGCGTTACTGGAATAACCCTCAGTCTATCCTACCTTCATGGATGGAAATGAAGCATCATCGCTACAGTCTGTGGTAGAAATAACTGAAAACTCATCTTTTGTGTGTACTCCAACAGGTTTGTTGGTTCTTTGTTGGACCTGTCACACATCCTTCACTCTAAGTGGGGCTGTCGCTGGCCAAGTGCCAGAGGTTGAAATAAACAGAGAGTAGAGATCAGATCCTTCAGTTAGATAAACCATTTGTTCTAATTTGTTATTTTAGGTGCAGGGCTTGTTGTTTTGACKTGTGTTTTTTGATGTGAACGAGAAAACAGACGTAAAAACAACAAAGGAAGTGAAACAATGACTGATGGACCATCTACGAACTGCAACAATCAGCTAGAGTTGTCAATACCGTCAATCAACACGTTCTCACTCCCAATTTGTCACCATATCGACGCTTGGTCAGGTACCATCTGCGTCCAGTTTTGATGCATCAGGTATCCCTCTCGTGTCAGTTATTCACGCCTGCGGCTTTTCTGGGTTGCGCCACATAGGGGTCTTTGGGTTGGGGGTCTGTGGTTAATATGAGGGATCAGGATTTATGGTTAATTTTAGGTAGTGAGGTCAGGGATAGGRTGTATATGACTAATAGAAGTTAAATTAAATTTAGGGTCTGGGATGGTTAGTTGTCGTGCATTTCCTACTCTTTTCAAAAATATGACAACACACTCCTCCTCCGTCTCATCTCGTTAAGAACTGATGCGAGGGYGGTACTGACACATCCAAAACTGGACGCAGATGGTAACAGACCAAGCGTCAATATGTTGACAAGATGGGAGTGAGAATGGGTTGCATCAATGATGCCTCCTAATTAAAGTTCAACATTTGGTTTACAAGTATGCACATTTGAATCTTTTTAATCTTTATGTTACTTTATTCACAGTTTCTAAGCTTCAGTTTTCACTGGTTCTGCTAGGCTCTCCCACAACCAACACAATCTATTGGAACATGATGGGTCATGGCAAATGTTCAGATCTCTTTCAGGGTGAAGACAATTAGGTCCAAATTCAGGGGCTGGGTCCTTCAAACCCGGTCTAGGTGGGCCAGGTCCTTGGTAGACCATGTAGAAAAGTGGCTGTGAATTTGGACGGTCTAGCCGTCTRCTTTATTCCTGCCCTTACCCTGACGTATGTCCTGTTGGTTAGCTACTGWGACGCAAAACAGAAGCCAAAATCTAAATTTGCAAAACATCAATATATCACAAAACAACAAAATTAGCTTAAAGGCAATATTTGAAAAACTAATGGACTTGCGTATGTGCACATTTATTTCTCTGTACCAGCTCATTTTATTTCTGACAAGAATAATTTTAAAAACACGTCAAAATGACAAAAGCATTAACAACAAAACCACTTGAAACTTTTCATTTTTTTTACTCCCAGATTTTTATTTCAAACTGTACTCCTTTCTCTCGCTTCATCCGCCATTAAGAGCAGGAAAATAATCTGTGGTCGACCCGGAATGCATTATGAGATATGGTGGACCAAGAAGAATCCATTGGACCCGTCCCTCAAATCAGGGAAAAAGGGGTATTTGTGGGCCACATCGGAGGAGTCTTCGAGTTTGCACAGCCTCTGGCACGACCCTGTGACRTAAACGGCCAACAGATTTGGCCTTCAGAGGACCCAGCCAATAATGGCACTGCTACAGTCTTAAAACAGTATCTCACTAGGCTGCAACATTTGGGGACAGGTTTGCAAACATCCTTTGAGAGAAAGTTTCCAAAATGTCTAAAAAAATAAAATGAAATTAAAATTACCAGAGCGTCTCGATTTTGGYACACAAGTCACGCAGACTTGCAGTCTTGTGGCTTGAACTTTGAATGTTCCAAAAACGTTCCAAAACATTTGTGCGAACAGAATCATCGCTAAAGTCTTRAACCCAGATAAAGTGGTTTTGTTGCAGTTATGTGGAACTATTCTCTGTTGAGGTTTTGTCAGTTCAAGAGTGATAAAGCTCCATGACAAAATGGATCCTAGGCTTCTGGCCTTAATGCTCAGGTCTAACCATGACAATAATCAATAAATGTTTTATTTTATTGTATTGATACTGGTACTCAGTGAGCTTCATCAATYCAAGACTAGACAGACAACAACTCAAAATTGCAAGAAAATTGACAAATATTCAGTTTTAGTCTCACTAAATTCTCAGTGGGTCAAATCAGTTGTGTGTCCACATTTTGCAGGACAATTCWTTTTTGTTGTGCGCACGGCTTGCAAAACTTTATTCTCAGCTGTGCACATTGCTTGAGCATTGTTTTTACACAACCAGACAGTTTTCAAAAAATGGCCATTCAAAACCCAGCCACACAGCTCACTGGTTTCTTGCTTGTCAAACACTGAGAAGTTAGTGAGACTGCAACAAAACATGTCTTTAGATTTTGTCGTCACCAACTTGTCTCCACCGGTCAAAGCTTTTGGGGGATTCCACCAATAAGCAGAGGCGCAAGCATTGAAACACAGCTCTAGAATAACAGAAACAAAACTCAAGGACGGTTCAAGATACTATCAAGGGTTTTGTGATAAATGTATTTTTTATTTAAAGAAAATTTATTGCTAAAACAGTTTGAATGTGTTTAAAATTCAAGCTACAAGAATGTCTCTGGGACTCAAACCCTTTCTTAGGGGAAGCCTGGGCCTAAAAGGCAGCCTACAACTGTGGGAGGAAACCAGATTACCTGAAGAAAACTCACACAAACACGAGGCCCAACCCATAGCGTAAACCCAAAGCTTGCTGTGAGGCAACAGTACTAACCATTAATCCTTGAGCAGGCAGGGTAATTAAGAATCATCTTGATACTATGTCTCATGAATGCTGCTCACTAACAGAAGCAGCTCAGATAGAAACTGGCTTTACCCATAATGCCTYGGTGCACTGGCAAACTTTATTATACCACCTGACATGATGCATGGTTACAAATAGAACCGTCTACAAAGACTTCTTGGTAGGATTCAAACACACACAGAGAGTTTATGCAGTTCCTGTACAGCAGAGGTAGGATTGGTCAACAGCAACCTGTTTTTCCTGAAATATCAGATGGCTCTTTCTAACGTTTTRCATCCATTTTGTGCATTAGAGCTGATAAATATGCATCAAACACACTTTAGATGTTCGTATAAACATATAAAGATGGTTCAGTCTGTTGGTTTTTGTGCTCAAAGTTATGGAAACATGATGTCACATCGACCATGTCCCTTCCATCGACACACTGATCAGGGGTTCTCTTACCGTGGATCAGGAGAGCACACAGACACAGTGAAAGGCTGTTCAGCAGAGATGTCATCCTCCTCAGCAGGTGCTGCTAACTCTGCACACGTTGAGCCGATTTCAGCACTGCGGTCAAGCTCATCAGTCCAAGTAATCTGATCCTAAACCTCAGGGAAAYACGGGAGCACGAGGCGCTCTCATGCCTTCAGCTGTCAGATCATCTTCAGGGATGTTGGAGTCGTCTGAGTCCCTTTCCCAAAAAAAATGTCCAGATGGCAACGATTGATAAAAACCTCTTGTTTTTTTGTTGCTCAGTTATGAGAACTTAAACCATCGAGCTGGCAGATTGGGAAAAAGGAGCAGCTTTACCTGTGAGAGATACACCTGTTTGCGCTACACCTTACACTCCCTCTCCCTGTCACACACACACACACACACACACACACACACACATATTCAAACCTAAACTGACTATTCCGGTTTGGCAGTAGCAACATGACAGTTATTTTCTTGTCTCTACATGCTCAGAGGAGAGGCAGGTAAATGAACATGCCCCAAAAAAAACCTGTTTGAACTTTGTCATCAGAACAGCAAGACACCAGAACCAAATGAGCCTTCTCTCACTGAACCAAGCTAACAACCACTTTTACATTTTCCAAATAACCCCAAACTTACAGTCTGCGAAGAAGACTCTGACTTAAAAGACAGGAAGAAACATTTATTCATGTAAAAATGTTTCATTTCTGAGAAACTGTTCTCTTCTTTACCACCTCAGGATACAACAAGACTATGCTGGGCTTGTTTACTTCATTAGTTTTAACCTTTTCCTGAGCCAAATGGAAGCACATTAGTAACACCAAATATTGTTTAGGCTAAAAAATAATTTTAGGATTTCAAATGTATGTTTTGGTGTGAAACCTTTAATATCATATTTATGTGTTAGCAGCTAAAATTAAAGTGTAGTGTAGCTGGAACCCACAGTTTGTTTAATTTAAAAGTCAAGTTCAAAAACACAAAGTTGAGTCTGTTTCTCACTGATTTAAAGTACCTGTGATGAGTATATCCTTCAGATACAAAAAGTCAAAGAAAGCATTTTTATATTTAGTAAACTTGGCTTGTTACACTTGATTTTACCCATTTTGTCACATAACTGGCCTGTTTTCTTTTGGATTTGGCCCAGCCAAAGTAAAACAGGAAGTGACATCAAAGGGGAACTTGTTAATAAATTAAACTCTCTGGTCTTTGTTTATTAAAACAGTATCATTTAAACTTTAATTCTTCATCGTCTGTGTTTGATAGTGTCTCAAAACAATCTAAAGAAACATCAGATTCTTCTCTACAGTCTGTGATGTTARCTGTTGTAACAACGCTCTGTTTACATGCAGACATTCCCCTTTGACATCACTTCCTGTTTCTTCGTGTGCAAATATCTCAACTGTTCGTCTCAGCAACGTGAAATTTGTCTTGCAACATGTTATCAATGTTATCTTTCCAAAAATACATTCAGATTTATTACCAAAATTTATTGTCACAGGCCCTTTAAAAACATTAGAACCAAAATAATAGATACAGTATATCTCTGAAGGCAAACTTTGTAGATAAAAGAATGTTAAACATCCTGTCCTTCTCCCACGAGTAAAAAGTGTTTGTAGATTTGATCAAAACTTACTTTAAATCTGATTTATGATTTAAAACACAAACAGTAAGTCGGTAGGTCAAATTTTTCACTTGGGTTTTCAAACCTACGACTTGGTACATCAGAAAACTTAAACGTACTCAAGTTTCCACACACTTGTATTTTTTCTCTCTGTAGTTTTTATCAGTCTGATCTAAGTTAAAGTGACAACATATTAAGTATTAATAAACTGTGTCAGAAATGCTAAACCACSAACAGGAAATGTTTTTTATAAACTGTGCGCTCAGGCTGGAGGAGCTTTACTTGAGAAAAAGAAATGATAACACTCAGGGCTGTACTTTAAGACAGATATGYTTTGAGTATAACTGAAAGCTTTTATTAATGGTGACATGTGACAGCTTCATGACTTCTCTTGTGTTTAATGAACACAAACACAAAAATAAAAAAACATGCATTATCACTGCCATCCTGTGGGGAAACATCTAATCTAAAATTTACAGAATGAGCTTTTGGATTTTTTTTCCCTCTAACCCTGCCATCTAATCCCTGCACACATTCAAACTSTGTTTATRGGTAGCAAAACAAACGTCTGGAAGAAATAAAGTCTTAGCATTCTTTGAAATAATGCATATCGACCACGTTTCAGACTAAGACCATCTCGTTATGGGGAAAGGCAGAATTTTACCTGTTTTAGTCTAATCTTCAAAATGTATTCAGAGTGCATGTTATGGATGACTGTCAGCTACTACCACACTACAGTTTACATAAATGCCAGTCAAACTGACTGAATTATAGACATTTCGGTTTTTTTTTTATTTATTTATTTGTGTTTTCTGTAACACCTACAGTTAAACGTAGACTTAGGTAACATGTTAAGTTGGGTTGGCTACAGAAGCTAACCAGTTGTAGTTGTATGTTCATTTAATATTCTCTGAAAGCTTGGTTACAATTTGTCCAGTGGTTCTGCTCTTTTGCTAACAGTATGACAGAGTATTAGGGCCGCAAAACAAGATTTTTTTTAATTTCAAGAATAAAGTCATATTATTACTAAAATAAAGTCATAATATTATGAGAATAAAACCATAACATTATGAGAAAGAACTCAGACTATCATGAGAATAAAGTCAATATTATGAGAACAAAGTCATAATATTATGATTTTATTCTCATCATATCAATCTCATAATAGTACAACTTTAACCTTCTAATATTGTGACTTTATTCTAATCTGACCTTTTTTCTCGTAATATTATGACTTTAATGTCATAATATTATGGTTTTATTCTGTATTATTACATCTTTATTGTCATAATTATATATAGTGGCCCTAATACTCTGT